CCTAACCACTGCGACTGGCCTTCAGGATACCTCCTACGTCTCCTCGTCTATACTGACGGCTCTGCAGCAACCGTCCCGTCAGACGTTCAGCCATGCGCTTGGGCGTTCAGCGTGTGGTGCGAAACCATTGAGGGTCTGTACTTCTACGGAGGCGCAGCACAGCAAGCCTCCTCTGAAGCCCTGCCGTATAGCGTTGGGGAGCAGCGTGACGACGCGCTGACGGCCGAGCTGCTGGCCATTGTATGGAGCCTTGCTTGGCTAGCTGAGTTTGGCGAGTATTTCGGGGTGCCTGCTGTCTTACTTTACGATGCCAACTCAGCCGGTATGGGCTCCTTCGGGCTCTGGCGTTCTGTCCCTTACCCGGCACCAGCTCAAGGGCCTACACTCCCAGACTTTGCTATTGCAATGCGCCAGCTGGCTGAGACGGTTCTCGATCTCACGCACTGTCATGTGCAAGGACACAGTGGCGCTTTAGGCAATGAGCTGTCTGATCGTATGGCAAGCACTGCACGCGCTGCTCCTTCCGATCAGTATGATCGGTGCCAGCCTGTTTGGCCAGCTCGACTCCACAAGCATGCCATGTGGGCGTGGGCCTGGGCCACACGCGTTGTCACTCACGATCTTCCTACACTCTTTGCAATGGAGACTGAGGCTGATAGGCTGCGCCGTCTGCCGAGACACACAGACACTGCTCCGAGCTTCGGAATACGGCCTGTCCGAGTCACCAAGGAAGCCCTGCACTACTGCTATACCTGTGTCAGCTTCAATGTGCTCACTTTGCGTGACGACGGCAAAGCGTCAAGTGTCCCAGCAGGAATGCGGATTACAGGGCGGCGAGCCATCCTCCTTCAGGAGTTGGCTAAGTACAGCCCCCTCCTCGTCGGGCTTCAGGAGACACGGCTTCCTGAGTCTGCTGTGTCCCCAGATGCTCGGTACTTTATGTACCAGTCTTCGGCTACTGACAGAGGACACGGTGGGTGTGCCTTGTGGGTTGCCAAGGACATACCGTACGCTGTACAAGGCAAGCGGCAATTCTACTTCCGGGCAGAACACGCTGTTGTGACTGCCTTTTCTTCCAGGCACATTGCTGTCATGTTAGACGGCCCACGCATTCGACTTTTCGTCGTCGTGCTACACTGCGCCTCCCTGTCAAAGCACCCCTACGCTGAGGTTCAGCAATTCTGGAGGGACCGCCTGCTTGAATTGCGCCGGCGACCATCGGGCTCAGATTACATCCTTTTGATGGATGCCAACTCCGAAGTCGGGAGCATCACTACGGAGGCCGTCTCGTCACATCAGGCAGCCACCGAGACACCAGCCGGAGCCCTCATGCATGAGTTCTTGCTAAGCGTTGGCGGTATGCTTCCGTCCACCTTCGAGTGTCATCACCATGGACCAGGCGACACATGGCAGTCGGCGCTAGGGTATAAGCACCGTTTAGATTTCATCGCCGTGCCCGCGGCCTGGAGCGAGTACGTCTCGGATTCCCGAGTGCTGCCTGACATCGAGGCGTTGCAACTGAGAGAAGATCACCTTCCAGTCCTCCTCAGTCTCGCTTATGCTCGGGCGGCCACAGACGCCCCCTATTTCGACTGCCGCCGCCGTACCATTCGGCCCACGGCCCCCCTCAGATCCAGCCGTGCGAGCACAGCAACACGCGCTGTTGCGCACTCTTCAGACGGCACCTTGGCAGTGTGAGGTTGACAAACAGTTTGACTGTTTTGTCCGGTCTTGGACGGCAGCAGGCCGTACGCTTGTCTGTGCTAAGCCAGCCCATCAGAACAAGCCTTACTTGAGCCAAAGGTCGTATGACCTGTCGCAATACTGCAAGTCTCTGCGTCGCTACCTCCGTGATGAAGCAGCAGAGCGCCGCAAGCGTCTCCTCACTGTTATCTTTGCTGCCTTTATCAAGCTGGCGCGGGGCGGTACCTTTACGGAGGTTGCAAGGTGCCGGGCAGACCAGTGGCTCTGGGAAGTCGATTGCAGCGAAGCCTCTGCACTCCACTACCTGAGATGCCATGTCAAAGCCCTACGCGCCAGCGTACGACAGGATCGCATTGAGTATACTTGCAGTCGCTGGCCAGTGACGTTGCTCTCCAAGACCTTCGCAACCCAGCACGCCTGTACGCGGCCGTGCGCAAAGCCTTCCCTACGGCACAGATTCCCTCGCTAAGGGATCTCGAGTCCATTATCGTTCGGCTGTGTTCACACAGGCCGCTGGCCCGGACAGCCTGACGGCTGACTTGTTGAAACTGTCTCCTCCAGCGGCGGCTCGACAACTTCTGCCCATTATGGCTAAGACGACGCTCGCTTTGCGGGAACCCATCGAATTCCGCGGTGGCACCCTCGTGTGCCTTGCAAAGAAAATCGGTGCATCCCTGCAGTGCTCCCAGTATCGCTCTATCCTCATCTCTTCTATCCCAGCCAAAATTTTTCACCGCTTCGTGCGCAGCCACCTCGTTCCTGTTCACGAGCGTAGCAAGCCCGAGCTGCTGGCTGGAGCCCTAGGAGGGCAGGGGATAGAGACGATAGCTCTTGCCGCGAGGACCTTTCAGGGCCTCCATCACGGCATGCGTCGCTTGTGGAGCATTGTCTTTGTTGACGTTCAAGCTGCTTTTTATAGAGTTGTTCGCCAGTCTCTGTACAGCCACGGCGAAGACGACCGGGCACTCTTGGAAGTTCTTTACGGGATGGGCCTGCCAGAGGCTGCAGTCGTTGAGTTGCGTGCACAACTCGAGAAGTTGGCCATTCTTCCTCAACTTGAGGCCCCCAGTCAGGTGCAGGCGTATGTGCAGGACATGATGCAGGCGACGTGGTTTCGCATTGATAACCACACCCAGCTCACCTGGACTCGTTGCGGCACTCGCCCAGGCGATCCGGCAGCCGACATGCTCTTTGCGCTATCTTTTGGGGCATTTCTGCAACGGCTGCAGCACCGGTTTGCAGAGGTGGGCCTTGTGCCAGCTTTTGAGCATGCTGATGCGGATCATCCCTGGGCCCCTGCGAGCTGGTGTGCGAACCCAGGGGCGCCGGCGTGGGCAGATGACTTTTTCATGCCCCAATTGGGTCGTGATAAGTTGGACATGCTCCAGCGCACGCAGCGCATGACGGAGTGCACCCTTGGCCTTTCCAGTGCCATTGGCATGAGGCTTACCTTTGCCCGAGAAAAGACAGCAGTTCTACTGCCCAGCGGACACACTTGGGCACCTGTCGCAGGCCTAATCCATGAAGAAGGCGGCAGTACCTATATCCCAGTGACCGACCCAGTCACCCAAGAGCTGCACTACATGCCGATCGTACAGGCTTACCGTCACCTGGGCGGGATCATGACGTCTAATGCCACCCCCAAGCCGGACATTTTGCTCAGGCAGTCCAGGGCCCTGAGTACAGTCCGTCCCCTACGCAAACAGCTCTTCGCGTCAGCTGCTATTCCGGTGCAGTTGAGACGAACCTTGCTGAATGCCTTGGCGGTCTCCAAGCTGGTTCACTCCAGCGCGGCCATTATGCTCACAGCGGCCCAGCACCAGAAGCTGTGGGACCGTGCATACATTCAGGTATGGCGCGCCTTGCTCCGGCGCAAGGGTGTCGACGATCATATCCATGCCTACAGTGTTCTGTTGGCCGCTGAGGCCCCTCCGCCTCCACTTGCTCTTGCCAAGGCCAGAGCATCCTTTTTGGCCCGTCTTACCAGCGGGGGATCAAAAACCCTGAAGCGGATGCTATACGAGCACTGGTGTTTGCATCCGTCGTCGTCGTGGCTGTCACAGCTTGCGCTGGATGCGGAAGCCGTCAGTCTGTATCGGCCCGGTGCTCTTGCTCCCCTTCGAGGACAGGGCATCGTGGAAGGCCTGCTCGATGCGCTCAGCCAAGATCCCAAGTGGTGGTTGGGGCAGGTCAAACAGGCCGAGAAGGCCGCCCGCACAGAGCTTGAGAAATGGCGCCTGTGGCGTTCGCAGGGCCTTCATGTACGGCCCATATCCAAGGAGCCCAGTGCAGGCGACTTTGTGTGCCACGTATGCGGCGAAGGCTTCAGGCTGAGGAAGCATCTTGGAGCTCATCTTGCGCGCACACATAAGATTTGGAGCCCTGCGCGCCATTACGCTTTGGACCGCTACTGCCATGGATGCCATGCCTGGCTGAGCAATATCAAGCAGGTGCAATTTCACCTGAAACGGCATGATCCGTGCCTACGTCGCCTGCTTTATCTCTTTCCCCCGCTCACTACTGACGAAATACGTCAAGTTGAGCAGGAGGATACGGCACGGGAACGTTGCCTCAAGAAAGGACAGTGGGCCTCCTTCCAAGGGGCCTCGCAGACAGCAGCCTACTTCCGTCCCCTCACGCCCACGGCGGAGGAACGCCTCGGAGACCTGGACTTCTACTCTGAGGACGTTCCCTTGCAGAGTCTCACGGCGTACAGGCCGGACGCAGAGTGTGTGGACTGGATTGAGACATACATCCAGGCCCGCTCTAGGGAGGGCCCACGTGGAGACACACGTGGGTTTTGGCTGCAAAAACCTTGCAGTTGTTTCACCAAGAATTCATAGTTTTGGGAGGCGCCGCATTCTGCGGCCCGAACTCCGAACCAAGTCCAAGTCCAAGTGTGTGGCAGACTCAGTTTCAAGCCGCGTTCCTCTGAACAATCTGGCTTGCAGCGGCAAAAACCTGTCGGTGCGAGCCCAGCTTTTTATCTCAGCCATCGGCTCGATGTCGGAATCCTGACCGTGGTGATACTTCTCGTTCTTCATGTGCTTTGTTGGGGCTAGCGGCTAAATCACAACTGCCACTATCTTTCGTCTGAGTTTTCCCGGTGCTGTTGACGAAGCCGGAGGGGTAATTCAGGCATTTCGGACACCGATTTTGTCTTGTTCCCGGAAGGGTTGTGACATCATCATCATCATCATCATCATCACCATCAGTCATGATTCACCAAGTCACCGCCACCATCACCATCATGATCACTATCAAGAACGGAATGGAAAGCTGTGACATTCGTGGAGGCGCCCAGCAAGGCCGCCAAGCGTCCGAAGAGGCAGCCCAGTGCTGTGCTCCTGGAGACTTCCTCCAAGTGTCTCCGGCTTGTTTGGAGCACTCGATGCATTTCCCGCAGGAAGGATGATGGTCGAGCATTGGACATTCCACCATTCTGGCGTGCGAATCTCAGAAAAGGGCCTGTACCTGAATGTGCACAGCCGGGCTCTCAGGCCACAAGTGACTTCAGGTCCTTTTCAGCTTATCTTTCGTGGGTCGAGTCTCCACGTCGCAGCATCATTGGGCTTTCCTGCCTTCCGCAGATGCTCAGACCTCACACCTCAGCTGGAGCTTGATTCTTCAGAGCTTCAGCTTTCTCTGGCTGGTTTCCCACTAAAGCTGCGTCCGAAGGTTCGGGTCTACGGTCAATACCCAGCCGTGTCGGTCGAGTGTCCGATTGCAACTTATCACATTACCAGATTGGCCGAATCGAAGCCGCATGCGCACTCATAACCGCAAGTATAAGAACAAGGCTCACACCAGGCACACAACACTTCGTCCAGACCGATGTTGATATTCTGGGACCAGCCAGGGTTGCTGGTGTTACAATCCAGTATTGGCAGGCTTTTGGCGCACCCCACTGGCACCTAAACTTATGAGATTTTTCCGGGTCCCGAAATGTCGGCAAGACCTTTAAATGCCAAAGCTCGCAGGAGTCACGCGAGAGAGTCGTTATCAGGCACTTCTCTTCTTTTTTGATAGAGCCCCCCCCATCAGTACTTTACTGCTTTTCTTTTCAGATTGCTCACTAAGTACTACTACAATTTTTTCTGTTCAGTGCCTGTCGCATCCGCGACAGCAGTAGTAGTAGGTACAGACCTCCCCCTCCTTCGGTCCGTACTTCTTGTAAGATAGCAGAGAAAGGTGCAGTAGTAGTAGAGGAGCTCCGCGCGCCCCCCTCCCTGAAACAAAAGCATGCCATGTTCGAGATGTGCTGCACTCTGCTGGCAGGGGGTTGGGGTGGGGTGCCTTGAAACGCAAAACCTGTCCTGCAGAAAAAGCCGCAGGAAAGAGGTGAGTGCAGTGGGAAGGAGAAGCAGAGAAGCAGCCCAGGGGAGAGGCCACCCCGATAACCGAAACCGCACTCCACTTCCAAGTAAGACTTTTCTGAGACGCCATCACGGCTCAGAGATCCGCCGCCACGGCTCCACACTCCGAGGCACCGCGTCGATTGAAGAGCTCAGCGAGTCGCTGCAGAGTCTCCGCGAACGGATGCTCCCGAGGACTTCGCCGGAAGCGAAGCTGTGCTTTGTTGAGACTTTTCAGAGGCCTGTCAGTTGCGCGGCTGCGGCCGATCTCTGCAGGATTCGGAAGATGGCGAAAGACGCCCGAAGGGAAGACCAGCTGGGTCCCCGACACGGCTCGGAGATGCCATAGTTCAGGATCCAGATGTCTTAACTACACGACGAAGACGATGCATGCTAACGATCACGGCTGCGGCGATGGTGATGCTGATTCTGATGCAGGCTGTGATTGTCATGGTTCCGCTGATGATGATGATGATTTATGATGATGATGCTGATGACGATGACGATGACGATGACGGTGACGATGACGGTGACGATGATGGTGCCGTTGTTGACTTGAGCATTTCCATGATTCTGAGCACTGTGAACCCTAGTTTCAACCCGCATCATGTCGTGAGCATTGCGCCCACTGTAAGCGTGATAGCTCAACCACTTCACAGCATAGCTCTCACGCAAGCCTCCAGCCGCTAGGTGCCGACGAATTGACAAACCCAGGTGCTCGCCCAAATGCACCCCGATGTCCCGCTACAGTCCCTGAGCCCAGAAATCCCGAGCATTCTGAAACTGGAGAACTGATGAGGAAGCGCGGTGGCCACTTGAAACCTCGGACGGCTGCTCTCGGCCGTGTGTGAGAAAAGGGAGGGGAGGGCAGCTTTCTGGCTTGAGTTTGAGCAGAGGGAGCCAAACCTTCTGAAACTATACAGCCAGATCAGCCACCCTCGTGCCCTGAGCCATCCTCAGATCCTTAGGCGTTGCCAGCTGAGGGTTCTGACTGGAAGTCGTCGGGTTGTCCTTTCGGAGCTGGGCCACCGGCAAGCGGTCTCGTGTGTATGTGCGTGTGTGTGTGTGTGTGTGTGCATTTTTTTTTTTGTGTGTGTGTGTACGTGTTTGTTTGTCTTTGCAGTGTTCCAGGGACTGCGGTGCGCTTCCTCAGTGGTTGAATAGGAACCCGAGGGGCTTGCTTTCAGATCTGGCACCATCCTTGTGGAGAGGCTTTGCCGGTCTTCATTTTTGCCTTCACTTGTCAGCAGAACATCTTCTCAATCTGCAACGAGGTGCGGTTAGCAGCGAGGTTTCAGTCGCAGCCAGATTTTGGAAGCAGCGAGGTCAAGAACTCCACTCGTGGTCGTATCGACCGGATCATTGTCGCCGCGGCTGGGTCCTTGTAATCTCCGTCGATGCTTCTGCACCTCTTAGACTGACGGTCGAAAACTAGTGGTGAGCTATTCTGGGGCTTGTGCTCTGCGATATTCCGTGCACAAGAAGTAAGCCAAGAGAACTAAATCCCAGACACGTCTGGCAATCATAGGAACTTCCATGCGCCAATAGACACGTAGCACCTCAAAGTCAGCCTTGCTCAGTATCTGATCGCCGGCTTGTCGTTCTGCTTTGCAGCGGTGCTGGGCTGCTGGGCCGCAGCCATTAGTATATTTTCGCTGGGTTTCAAGTTTTTCAGCTGGCAGCATCTAGCAGCGAGGCAAGTAGCTCCGTATGGACAACTTCTTGGGGTGAAGCGACGGCATGAGATCATGCCGTTCACTACCAATTTGCGACTCGTGCGAGCAATGCCAAAAATAGGATGTAGGATTCGCCGAAGCCTGCAAGAACCATAAGGTTACTGGACGTTCGGGAACGAGATTCCTTCGGATGTGCTGAAGGCATGGCACCCCCTTCGGCTTGGGCAATGGGTCTCGGCAGATAAGTGGATGTGCCACGGTTGGAAAAGACACACTCGCAAGATTTTCGCACATCTCAGCACAGGGCTATCCGGAGACCTACCTCGTGGCAGCCACGCGCCTCCTTTACTGCCTGCTGGCCCTCTTCTCCTACCCTTTGCAGGCCTGAAGCGAAGAGAGCTACTTTGTCAAACCTGAGTCTCTGCGCATCAAAGACACAGATCGAATGCATTCCCTATCATTCCTTGACTCCAGAGCTGATGCCCTACATTGGTGCAGCAGCAGCAGCAGCAGCAGCAGCAGCAGCAGCAGCAGCAGCAGCAGCAGCAGGAAGAACACAACACCACCACTACCAGCACCAGCACCAGCAACCAGCAAGCAGCAAGCAGCAAGCAGCAACCGGCAACCAGCATCCAGCGACCAGCGACCAGCAACCGGCAACCGGCAACCGGCAACGAGCAACCAGCAGATAGCAAGCAGCAACCAGCAGCAGCAGCAACAACACAAACAGTACTAACGCGACCACCACCACCACCACAACAACAACAATAACAACAATAACAACAATAACAACAACAACAGCTACTACCACTGCTGCTGCTGCTGCTACTACTACTACTACTGCTGCAAGTACTACTGCAAACAACAAAACTACTACAGCTACTGCTATTACCACTACTGCTACTGCTACTGCTACTGCTACTGCTACTGCTACTACTACTACTACTACTACTACTACTACTACTAGTACTACTACTACTACTACTACTTCTACTTCTACTTCTGCTTCTACCAGTGTACCAGTATCACCATTACGAAAACGACCACCACCAGCAGCAGCATCGCCACCACCACCACGACGACGACTACTACTACTACTAACTCCACTGTCATCGCAAATAGCAACCCCAAGCACCTGTGCCAGATCCACCCGTCCCGAAACTCCGCACTGGCGCTGATGGACCTGGTGCGGCCATCGGCAAGTGGAGGCCACGTGGCCCAAACTCCACACCAGCAAACAGTACCTATGGCGAAAGAGGAAGTGTCAGCACGAGCAGTAGCACCCAAGAAAGGAACCATAGCAGTAAGGGTAACAGCAACGACTTGATCTGCACATGCTCACAAACCTGTACATATTAGTACCGGCAACTGTACTTGTCTCTGAGCAAGTTCAGGTCGTCTTCAAGGTAAGTTAAGGTGTAGAAAGTGTTTCTGGTGTTCATTGTTCCTGCACATGTCGACGCCAAGCTACTAAGGCCTGTGCACTCATGCTCGTGGTACGAGATACTGGCAGCGAGCAAGATAAGAATAGGCCACAAAGGAAGAAATCAGAATGCCAGCGCAGAACTTAACCGGTGGCCCCAGACCCTGATTTTTCGGGCATGCTGTGCTGTCACCACGGCGCACAGGCGCAGCATCTCTGAACGCCAGCATCATTAGTGATGGAGATTCCTATCCTGGGCCCGTCTAGAACAAGATTTGAAGATTTCCGGATCAGTTGCAAACCTCGATGAAACAATTGCAGCAAGCTGCGTCGCTGGATTGTTGGCGATGGTCAGAGCAGCAGCATATTTTCCATCGCCCGTGCGTCAGCCCGACAGGCTCCACTCGGTGGGCCGTGGTCACTGTCTTGGAGCTCAGGGCTCGTGGGTCTTCGGAGGTTCTGAACCTCTACTAGGTTCTGGGTTTCAGATTTCCCGGGCTTGGGCCGGGTGAATAGAAGGTACCACGTCCCAAACGCCCCAAGCCCATCCAAGCCCAAATCCCAGCAAACGCCACTCCTGAGCTCGTGGGGGTCCGCGAGCCGCGAGGAGCTGGTGGCTTCCCTGGTGGTCGCCATCACAGTTGCTGAGCTTCATTGGAATCCTCAACTGCGAGTTTCGGGTTTCGGGTTCTCGAGAGATCCTCTACAGACCGTATAGCGGTATAGCATATTCTGCCAGTTCTACACTGTCTATCCTTTGCCATAATGCTTGAGCTGCATCAATGCCCCTGACGTTCCAGAAGCTCGCTACGAGGTGCTGGACCTTGGGAAGATTCTGGGGGTCGTTGGCGCGACAGGGTCGACGATGGTGTCGTGCGCGGTTTGTGATCCTATTATTCACGCTGCTCTGTTCATGGTTTTGCCTGCTGCGGCCATTACTACCAGTACTGCAAGCTGCAAAAGTAGTAGTAGTAGTAGTAGTAGTAGTAGTAGTAGTAGTCGTAGTCGTAGTAGTAGTCGTAGTCGTAGTCGTAGTATGTCGTAGTCGTCGTAGTAGTAGGAGGAGGAGCAGCAAGAGGACTCAGGAGGAGTGGTTGGGATCGGAGCCGGAGGGAGGAAGAGGAGGAGGAGGAGGGAGTGGGAGTGGAAATGGGGGGAGGAGCAGGACGGAGCAACGGAAGTGTAGTAGGGTGTGGCCCGCCGCCCGTGCGCCATCTCGCGGGCCGGCCGCCCCATCAGATGTTGGCAGATTCTGCCTTTTGTTTAGAGTTTCGGGCTCTTCCTTTTAGGGATTTTAGGGTTCAGATTTAGGGTTTAGCCAACGTCTCAGAATGTTCGCCAACCAACATCTCTGTGTTTTAGGGTTTGATGCCCTCCAACCAACATCAAGTGCTAGGTTTTAGGGGTTACAGGAACTTGGCTTCTGCTTTTGGAGTCCTTTTGGCTTTTGGGTTTGCTAACCAACATCCACCCTCATGTACTCCTATGTTGTACGGATGCCGACCAGCAGTCTCTTCCAAGATTCTAAGCTTTATCAAGTTTAAAGGGTTTGCCATCAAACATTTCCCTTTCGGGTTTAGGGTCCCTTGGAGGGTTTCAAGGTTAGGGTTTGACAACTAGCATGTCTTTTCAGGGCTTGAGGTTTGCCAACCAACATCTGTGTGCCAGCACTTCGAAGTGGGCTGATGAAATTCAGGGTTTGCCAACCACCCTTGTGAAGTCTGTTACGTGGGAAAGTAGTTTTCCAGGTGCGCCCTCTTCGTGCTAGTTCCATCAGAATAGCAGACTTATGAGACTAGACCGTTCCCTCGCCCGAAGGTTCGAATTGGCCATACGCATGCCTTCATGAAGAATGGTTTGCTGCTGATGGTGCCCTGGTCAATCAAATCTTCAGCCATGCGGCCGGACTGACGCCCTGTCAATCACTGCATGAAAGGCTTCAACAAACTAGCTTGTCGGAGTTACTGTCAAGGTTGACCAGGCCCTACGCCTTCATGGACCCTTGGCATGCACCTGTTCCATGTCCGTGGGCTCTCGACACGCCTGAGCTCTGCATGAAGCTTTCATTGCTTGCCGTATTTGTGTAGCCATAAGGACCCTTCGAAGGCATTCTCGGCTTGGGCCGGCCGGAGGTGGGACCACCAGATATATTCAGCAAGTGAGCAGCTTGTCCATCATGCTTCCTTTCACGGTGACTACTTGGGAGTTCGGGCCCGGTTGGGGCATCTCGGACAGATTGATTTGATTCGAGGGCTGCTCAAGCGAAGCTGCACTTCTTCAGCAAACAAATCGCACTCGCCCGATATGGCCTTCTCCTGTGTATGGCATGCCCTTAGTCCATGCTTGACTGTGAGCATTGTTGGAGGTGCAAATGAGCGGCAAGGCCCAGGTCAACCGTACTGCAGGGGAGCTCGATATCCGGGTCCCAGGCTGGCAAGCGTGACATGCTTTGGATTCCTTTGGTGTCCGAACCCTGCGAGGTTATGCTGAGAAGGCAGGCATCCGACGCTTCTCCATGTGCTTCAACCGGGAGGCAGTGCTGTCATGTCGACCAAAGCATTGCTTAAGACAGAGCCAAGCGAACACCTGTCTTACCTCAGCCTGCTCGGAAGCTGTAGCGGACATCACTTCAAGAACTGGTTGTAGCCCACACGCATTGTGGAGCTGCACGGTGAGGCGGATGGCGTTCTGGGCCTGCACACCGCAGATCCTTCCAAGCGACTGGAGTCTGTGGGCCCGCAACTCAAAGGCAGCAGTCACACAGCGCTTGCCTGCGGGTTGTGTCGACGCAACCGCAAACAGGATTCAATACAAAATTGCCAGTCCTTGCTACGAAGCATGCATCTGCATCAAGCTGTCGCCTCGCTCCACAATGCAGGTCATTCCCATGAGACCGAGCTTTCATGTTTACTGTTTCAATGTGCATAAATATACACAGCAATCAGGCATCTAAATCGAAAGCCTGATAAGACGCATCTGCATGGCGTATGAAAATCCCTTTATGAAACCCTTATGTTGGACGCTTTATGAAACCCTTATTTTGAAGCCCTAAAAGCCGCATGAAACCCGCATACTTCGAACCCCAACAGACAAAGGGGGAAGTTCCAGCCTGACGGGCCCATCCACCCACCCACCTGCCCATTATTCAAGGATGTCACAAGGTTTCATAAGGATTCTTCTTGGGTTTCAAATTGACAATATTTGGTTCTGTAAGGGTTTCATAAGGGTTTCACAAAGGTTTTACAGGACTCTTACAAGGTCTCACGACCGGTTCATAAGGGTAGTTTGGGATTTGGGTTTTTGAGTTCCGCAACACACTTTTTACACGGTGTTCAAGGGTGCAACAAGCGTTCCATACATGTCTGTAAGAAGCCACACTTGATACCCAAATCCAACCCAACAGATCTTGCTGGGGCCAAACTTGAAACCCGATGCGGCCCAAGAGCACTTCTTGGGTCGGAACAGAGCTTCAAGTTTCGCCCAAGAAGTGCTCTTGGGCCGGATCTGGCTTTCTTGTTACTCGTACTGGTAGTGTCTAAGAAGCGGTTTTGGGCCTTGTTTGGGTGCAAGAAACACACTTGGGCGGGATGAGGGTTTCAGGTTTGGCCCAAGAAGCGCTCTCGGGCCGGATCAAGAAGTGCTCTTGGGGAGGATCTGGGTTTCAGGTTTGGCCCAAGAAGCTGGGTTTAAGTTCGACCCGACCCAAGACAGAAGGGATCTCGAGCCAGATCTGGGTTCCCATTTGGCCTAAGAAGGACAGAGCGCCAGACTTGAGACCCAGATCTGGCCCGAGACCGCATTTTGGGCCAACCTTGAAAAAACAGATCCGGCGTACGAGCGCTCAACTGGAAACACAGATCCCGCCCATGGGCTCTTTTAGTGGCGGTTGCGTGGGTGGGAACCAGCTCGATTTCCGTTCGTGTAAGCTGCAGGCCTGCAGGCAGATGTAATTTGTGATAGCCGCAGATCGCGGAGCGGATTTCCTGCATCAAGAATGGGTTATCCGCAGACTGAGCAGAGTTGGTGAGCGGTCTCTTCAACAGCTTATTCCAGGACTTCCCAGCAGTGAATTTCGGAACGGAAACCTCCGGTTTTCTGCAACTATGGTGAGGTTTCGAGCAATGCCTAGAGATCTAGAGCCCTGCAGATGTGAGCTGCGAGCTGTGCCGCAGACAATTGCGAGACTTACTCTTTGCCGTCTTGCTCGCTGAATGGATCAGGTCAGATCCACTGGGGAGTGGACTTTCATGGCATCTCCATCGGTGAGGGCAATGCAAAGCACAGGGCCCGGAACCTAGAAGTCTAGGGCTGGAAGGATGGTATAGCAGTGTCCCATGTAGAACACGATGATGTGCTACATACAGTGGCAGTGACACTCAACAGCGATTTGATCGGGAGGTCAAGTTCTGCGACCCTAAAGAGAAGCGACCAGATCAGGAGTCCGGTGCTGAGGCGAAGATAAGGCAGGCTTCGAAATTGAAAGGTCCAGGCCGAGGTCTCCTTGCATCTGCGGTTCCAAGGACCATCTGCGGCCTCATTCCTGACAGCGGGACCACGATGATCACCGGGCCCGAGAACCAGCTGGCCGAGCTTTACATGGACCCAAACAGACACATGGATGCTTGTAGGACTGTTGATGAACAAGCAGATGAATATGTAGATGCATAGGTATAGAATAGAATACATACACAAATGTATAGATAAACATCTTGAAAATCATGTGGCATGCCGGCATGTGAGCTTGCCACTGTTTATCTTCCGCTGGCATACGACTCGACACCGAGGGCGCCCTTAGAGGTAAAAACAGCGTGCCTCGGTTCCACAGCGCCGCCTGTAGAACTCTGATGGTAAGCGGAGCCCTGCTCGAGGCAGGGGCTTTCGCTACAGCGCCGTTGGCGCTGCGCTTCGAGCCCACCACTGCGAGGTCTGGCAACCACCAGGCCGACAATTCTCCGCACCCGCCTTTGTGCCGGTGCCTGGGCAAGCGACTGAGATGACCCGCTTGGAGGTCGATCGATTTGGAGTTCCCCAATACGGGGGCGAGCCCGAGCTCTACGAGGAGTACGCAGAGAGATGCTGGGATCTTTGGTTCGGAAGAGAAGGGTCAGACCATCAGGTGGCCACGCCCGTCCACTTGAGGTCCGGGCTCACTTCCGCTGCCTACTCTGCGGTTCGCAAGCTCGACCACACGAGCCTTATCACGAAAGGCTCCGATGGCAAGCCCTCCGATAAAGGGATACGCCTCCTGCTGCAGACCCTGAAGGACAACATTGAGCAGGAGGCCCCGGTCAAGACGAACGAGCTCTTCTTCCAGGCCTTCTACAGCACGCACGTTTGGCGCATGCAGGCCGAGACGATGCAGCAGTACATCCTGAGGAGAGAGCAGGACTTCAAAAGGTTGGAAGAGGTCCTGGCTGGGGCGAAGATACCGGACCACATCCGGGCGATGATGCTCCTGGCCTTCGGCGGCCTTGACAGCCGCGAGCAGCTGAACGTGCTGGCCTCCGTGAACAACGAGTACGACTTCAAGAAGATCGCCCATGCCCTAAGGATCCAGTACCCGACCTGCTCGGGGAAGCCGTTGTTTCGCAAGGACTATCTGGGGTGTTCTCGGGCTGCCGCTGCCGCCGCCACCTCTCCTGGAAAGTTCCGGCCGCGACCTTTTGCACCCAGACCAGCCAAGGGCAAGGGTCGTGGCTACGCCCTCGCCGTGGAAGAGGACGACTTCGATGGTGAGGAGGTCTTCCTTGAGGAGGGCGACCAGGACTACGACGAGGAGGCCTACGAAGGCGGCGAGGCAACGGACGACGATCCCGTGGAGGCCCTGGTTCAGGACCTTGACTTCACCGACGACCAAGAGCTCGCGGAAGCCCTGGCCACCGTCCTCCAGAAGCGCAAGGGTCAAGGCGCGGGTTCTTCGGGAAAAGGAGCACCGCAGAGCTTCCCTTTCCGAGCAAAGGGCGAGATGACCCTCGACCAGAAAGCCAAGGAGTCCCGACGAAACGCCGTCAAGTTCTTGAAGACCGTCACCCCCTGCACCGTTTGCGGTCTGAAGGGACACTGGGCTGGCGATCCTGAGTGCCAGCAAACAAGAAAGACCGGGAAAGGCAGCCCGGGCGCTTCGCCCAAGAAGCGGGGGTTTCCCAAAAAGAAGCCGTCCTCCTCTTCTGCCTTCTACGTGGACGGCACGGAGGACGCGGCCCAGGAGGAGGAGGTCTTCATCACCGGCCTTCTCCCGAGCCCGACCGCGAAGTTCGGCGTCTTCTCCAACATGTTTGAGCTGCACGGTGCCGAGCCCGAGTCCTACATGGTGTTGAGGGCCGACGAGCTGTGCCAACATGCAAGCTACAACGGCGGCGACGAGAAGAAGTTCCACCGGTCGGCCAACGGGCACGTGAGACAGGTGCTTTGCAAGGAACACGAATGCGACCGAGCCGTGCTGGAGGCCCGGCGCAAGGAGCCGCTAGAACTGTGGAGGTTCCTTACCATGATAATTTTGGGGACCAAGTGGGGAAGGAAGGCCCGACACCGGGTCTGGACTCAGGCCCTCCACCACGCCGAGCTCGAGGCCGCGAAGGCGAAGAAGGAAACACCAAGCTTGGCGACCTTTCAGGTTCGGCTCCAGATGGCCCAGGGAGATGAGCGCAAGGGCCCCGAGAGAGACAAAGCCCGGGGATCGACAGACAATCCCTGGACCATGGTCGGCGAGAACCCCGGCTACTCTACGCCGTCGTCCCTTCCTTCAACGGCCTCGGCTGGAGCACCGATCGCGAGGATACTTCGCCAGGAGCAACGCATCTGGGTGTACGGCGTCTGTGTCTGCGCCTCCCTAGAGCTTCCCCCTTTTCCCCAGCTTGCCGCCGAGGACCTCGACATACTGCAGCCAGTCCCTGCTGATGATCACCTGCTGGGCCCGTCTACTCCGTACGCTGGGCGCACCTATGTGGATGTAGCTTCCTGCTCTGAGTGCTCGTGGTGGTGTTCACAGGTCATGGCGTTCGCCCTCGGCAACCACCCCATCCAGCCGGAAATCTACGCCTTCGGGTTTTACCTCTTCGGCCGCCTGACGATGGTCAGGGAGGCGGTTGCAAGGATGCAGGGTGCCGGGCATGATCCGAGGAAGCGAGTTCATCGACCACAGGATATGGTTTCTACGAGGCAGCTTCGCATACCTGTGGCCATGGACCAGCACCGCCTCGACATTACGAGCGAGCAGGACTGCGACGTGATGATGGTTGGCCTGGCTGGTGACGGCGCGGCCGAGGAGACGATCCCCGCCTCCTATGTGGCCTCGGAGTCGGACCCGCCCGGCCTTGCTATCCTAGACAGCGGCTGCACCAAGACGATGCATGGAGAAGCCTGGGCAGAGCGTTTCGAGAAGGAACTTGTGGGCCTAGGGCTTTCCTTTGAGACCCGCCAACGGCCTCAGTTGTTCAAGGGCGTCGGCGGCCACATCAAGAGCGAGGTGGTCAAGGTCTACCCCGTTGGCTTGGCCAAGGTGCACGGCGAGATGTGCAGTTCCGAGGTGCCGGGCCCCTTGCCCTTGTTGCTTTCGAGGCCCTTCATGGAGGAGATGGGCACGGTCATGGACATAGGAAGGGGCACTGTCAGCTTCGTGGCCCTTGGTGTCTCCGACCTCCCCCTCGTGAAGACATCGCGTGGCCACCTGGCCGTGGACCTTCTTGACTTCGACCGCGCTGCCTTTAACGACGACGGCCCCTCTCCTGAACAGGCGCTTGCGGCCAGCACCGTCAAGGCCGCAACCCCGAGCGAACAAGAACGGACCTCAGCCACCGCCGCCGCCAAGGAGAACGAGAGCTCGCCCGAACGGAGGTACATGACCCAGCAGGAGATCTTCGAGATGCAGGAGCTCTGCCTGGGCGGCTCGCAGGAGGATCCGGAGGTGCCCGAGGGATGGAACCCAGACGATTGGAACGACCACCTGGACCACATGCACAACCTGCGCCTTGACGTCGAGAACTGGGAAGAGGAAGAACGAGGCAGAGGCCCAGAGGGCTTCTTAACGGAGAACGCCACCGAGGACCTTAACTACTTTGAGGAAGCCATGCTGCTCGCCCCGCATGCCTTTCGCAAGGTCACCAACAAGAAAGGCAAGAAGCTAGAAGGACTGGCTTCTGCGGTGGACAGCGATGACTTCGTCTTCCGGCGAGTTCTCCGTGGCAAGGCCCAGGTTCCGAACAAGCCCCGCGCCGGACGGACCTGGGTAAAGCAGCTCTATGGCTTTGGTGTCGGCTTCAGCCTTCTCTGTGTCTTGGCGGGCATGGCTGTGGCCTCCTTGCCTGGCGGCACAGAGCCGGAGACCAACTTCAACTACAAGGCAAGGCGAAGGATTCACAACGACTTCCAAGTTGAAGACCCTTACGTGACCATCGCCTGCCTACCGCTTCCTTTCTCCCAGGTCGACCCGGGCCCCGACAAGGTGCTCCTCCCCAAGGACAGCCACCAGGAGCGTGACAAGTACACCGAGTTTGTTGAGAAGATTGTTGTGGCACGTGCCCGTGCTAAGCGGCACGTGATACTTGTGGCACCGAAGTCCTGGAGCTACTGCGAAGGTCCCGGGAGCGAAGAGATTTACAAGATGATCGACGCAGGCGACCTGGTGGCCTTTGCCGCCGGCGGGACCCACGGCCTAACCTTCTTGACTACACTCGTTACTCTCGAGAGCGCCTTGCAGGGCTGGTTCTCAGCAAAGGCAAGGTGGCACGACGACCGCGCACTACATGAACACATCCTGGACGCTGTGGTTCAGCAGGCCGTTGTCGAGGAGACGGCCGTTAACGAGATCAAGGAGGCCTTCCCCCTAGAGCCGGCCTCGCTCAGGATGTTTCGGAAGAGAAAGAAAAGGGGACCGGCCACTCTGACGGAGCAATTCAATGCGCCACCGGTCTATATTCGCCCCGGTGACGTTGAGCCAGTCCCGCCGGATGACGCAACCGACCGGACCCTTGCCGAGCTGATCGAGGAGCCCACCGGAGCCGAGCACCTGAGATACGCCGCCGATGGCGACGACCACAGCCACCGGGCTATCATGGCTGACCAGCTGGATCCCGTTCTGAACATGACCGAGTCCGAGAGAAGACGCCGGTGGCTAGCCCTCGACCCGGAGATCCGCAAGGTTCTTCGCCAACTCCACGTGCAGTTCGGGCACCCTACGAACACAACGCTCCAAAGAATACTTCGTCGGCAAGGTGCCCGGATGTCGGCCGTGAAGGGGGTCGACTACCTCTCCTGTGATGCCTGTGGGGAGTCCCACCGGAACCGACGGCCGAAGCCTGTGCGCCTCCCCGGAAAGTACGAGTTCAATGCCCATGTCCAGGCCGATGTCTTCTACGCCAAGGACGTCAACGGAGTGCTCTTCAGCTTCCTCAATGTTCTCTGTGAGGCTACGGGCTTCCAAGTTGTCTCCTGCATGGGAACTTCTCAAGGGCCCCCGGCTTCCTCGGCTGTGCTTCGGCACTTCCTCACGTCTTGGTCCAACTGGGCAGGGCTGCCGGCCAGCATCCAGGTGGACCGTGGAAAGGAGTTCATGGGAGCCTTTGCCTCTTACTTGAAGCGTTTTGGAGTCGAGCAAGAGGTGATGCCTTTGGAGGCCCCGTGGAAAAACGGCAAAGTGGAGAAAGCAGGCGGTCTTTGGAAGGACGTCCTCGCAAAGGTTGTCATCGATATGCAGGTGAACGGCCTCAGGGACATGACCGTCGCCACTGCCATCGTCACCCAGGTCCGGAACAGCTTCCCGAGGAGATCCGGATATGCTCCCGTGCAGTGGGTCTTGGGTCGGCCCGACACGAAGTTGCCAGGAAGCCTCCTTCAAGAAGGAGACCAAGACCGCCTTGAGATACTTGAGGCCGCCGCGGACCCGCACTCGATGATGGCAAGAAGTTTGGGTATGCGAGAGGCAGCCCGGGTGGCCCAGATCAGGCTTGACAATGACGGCCGAGTGCGCCGTGCCTTGCTTCACCAGGCAGCTCCCACTCGAGGCCCCTTTCCTGTTGGGTCCTACGTCTACTTCTACAGAGCACAAGTACCTCCCGGAGCTTCTCGTGCTTACCGCTGGCACGGGCCAGCCAGAGTGATAGGCGTTGAAATCCGGCCGTCTCGAACAGCCGGAGCCCGCAACAGAAGGCGGCCAGCCTCATTCTTACTGGCTGCGCTTCGGAGCAAGCGTGATCCTAGTTACCGGGGAGCAGCTGCGGTTTGCGAGTGAAGACGAGCTGCTGGCTGCCCACTCTGTGCCGGAGGTTGCCCTCCCCCCGAGCTATGCGCGCGGGGCCAAGGGCTATATGGACTTGAGGCTGCCTACCACGAGGGTGCCGCCGCCTACAGTTTTGGAGGGCATGCCGAGGGCCGCACCAAGGACGAGCGTGGCGCCAATTCCGGTTGCCCCACCTGCTCGGCCACCACCTTCTGCTTTGGTTCCGAGAACAGATATTGTTACTACTCCGGACCTTCTTCCTCCGGTTCCTGAAGATGACGAAGGACTACTTGATGGAGATGGTCCCGGTCAAGAAGCACCACTGGAACCACTGCAGAACTCAAGGACGGGCGCGGGGGCATCATCCTCTACAGATGGAGGTGTTTTTCCCAGTCAAGAAGCACCGCTTGAACCACGGCAGAACTCAAGGACGGGCGCGGGGGTACCAGATATAGATATGCACAGGCAGTCGTCGACAGTCTCTTCCGCAGAGCCAGAACCTATGCCTAGCACACCTCTGGTCGGGCCCGCGCCGCCACCCGCGGCAACACATCAGGTACCACAAGCTTTTCATGACCCAGACCGTCTTGATGGATATCGTCCTCTTCGAGGTGGGCGATTAGATGCACCTGCCCCCTATCTTGCAGAAGACTTGCCCTGGGATTTTCCACCTGTGTCGCATATGGTCAGGGAACAGCGGCTAAGGAGGATGGTCGGGGCACCGAGGAGTACGAGACCGACACCACGGATGAAGAGGAAGACGCTGAGAACCTCTTCTCCCACCTGACGCCCGCCGACATATTCCTCACGGGTAAGGCCGTTCGCTCCGAGATTAAGCTCAAGGACCTTAGTCCGGATGAGAGGGAGAAGTTCGTCGCAGCCATGGCCAAGGAGTGGTCATCTTGGGAGAAGTTCAACGCCGTGGAAGTGCTCACCCCAGACCAAGTGGCACAGCTCCCGGGCGATGTGCGCGTGATCGGGACCAGGTGGGTGCACACTGACAAGAACCAGAAGCAGAGGCTCCTCGCCTTACACGTGCGGGGGAAGACAGGGAAGAGCAAGGAGCAGGTCATGAAGGAGTACCCCTTCGCCGCGAAGTCAAGACTGGTGGTGCAAGGGTGTCAAGAGGACTCTCGTGACATCCGCTCCGACAGCCCAACTGCGAGCCTACTCGCATTCAACTTCCTCTCTGCCGTGGCGGTTTTGAATGGATGGGAGGTCGCGGCCAGTGACGCCTCGACGGCCTATCTGCAGTCTCAAGGGATAAGCCGGCTCCTCATTTTGAGGGCACCTCGGCCTCCACCACCAGGCCTGGGACCCAACGATTTGCTGAGGGCAAAGGGGTCCATCTACGGCACCCGAGACGCAGGACGACAGTGGTGGAAGAAACTTTACCACACCCTCCGCAAGCATGGGTGGAGGATGTCGTCCATCGAGGCCGCTCTCTTCATCCTCTCCGACGGTCCCCTCCTAATGGGCATCATGATCTCCCATGTCGATGACCTGTACAGTGCCGGAGAAGGAGAAGCCTACGAGGGGACTCTCAAGGAACTCGAGACCGAGCTGCACTTAACGATCAAGAAGGGTTCCTTCCGGTTCTGCGGCAAGAACATCAAACAGGTCGACGGCGAGATCTTCTTGGACCAGATGGACGCGATCGAAGGGATCGACTACATGCTCCTCCCGACCGAGAGGAGGAAGGCCGTGAACACCCCACTGACGGAGGCTGAGAAGACAGCCTTTCGCGGGCTCATCGGGCAGATGGGCTGGGTGACCAGACAGTCGAGACCGGACCTGATGGTGAACGTGAGCCTCGCTGCCCAGTCTGTCAGCCACCCCAAGGTCAGTGACGTCGTGCGTTTAAACCGGGCCGTGAAGATGCTGAAGGATACCTCCGAGGCAAGGTGGTGCTTTCGGAAGAGTGACCTTACGCTCAAGGACGCGGTCGCCTTCACCTTTGCCGACAGCAGCTTTGCCAACGCGGAAGGATCCAAGAGCCATTGCGGCTATGTGGTTGGGCTCACGAGCCCCGACATCTTCCAAGGAGGACCGGTGCCGATCTACATCGTAGAGGCCTTCTCGGGGAGCATCAAGCGGGTGTGCCGTAGCACATTGGCTGCTGAGGCGAATGGGTTCCTCAGCGGGGCCGAGGCCGCCGAGTACCTGCGCTCCCTCCTCATGGAAGTCCTTCACCCGAACGTGTCCGTGCGGGACCTGGACCAGCTCTACCTGAAGAAGAAGATGGCTTGCTTCACCGACGCCCGCTCTCTCGAGCAGACGCTGAACAAGGATGCCGGCCAGCCCCAGGACAAACGGGTGAGGATTCTCATTGCCCAGGTGCGCGAGATGATCGGAGAGAACACGTATGACGATGACGCCCCGGGCTTCGCAACATGGGTGGATACCTCGCAGATGCTCGCAGACGTCCTCACGAAGGAGAACTGCGACAGGGAGCCCCTTTTGAATGCCCTCGCCGAAGGCGTATGGCAGCTAGATCCCTCAGATGCGGCCAGAGAGCGAAAGCTCCTGATTCGCGCGGGGAGACAGTCCCGTAAGGCCGCCAAGCAGGTGCGAGCCGAGGACGGGTGAAAATCATGTGGCATGCCGGCATGTGAGCTTGCCACTGTTTATCTTCCGCTGGCATACGACTCGACACCGAGGGCGCCCTTAGAGGTAAAAACAGCGTGCCTCGGTTCCACAGCGCCGCCTGTAGAACTCTGACATCTTTAAATATATAAAACTTGCATAATGTTCACGTGAATTTTACTGTTTCCTCTTTGTACGCATGTGTGCATGATTGTCCTTCCATCTGTCTGTATGTGTTTGCATGTATGTATGTATGTATGTATGTATGTATGTATGTATGTATGTATCAGGCATCATTTGGAGGTCGTCCAGGTGGCCGATCAGGGCTGTGGCCCCTGACACTGCCCGGACTGTTGGGAGACTCCAAGACTTTACCACACTACGGTGTTTGATCATTCAGTGGCGTAGTCGAAGTTCCCGTCAAGCTGTGGACGCCAGACTTTTCCCGGTGCAGATCAATCGTTTTGACGCCCAAGGTCATAAACCCCGCACACTAGCGAGGCCCAGCACTGCTGTGAATGTACCGCACTTCACAGGCCCCGGCCTACACACGGCATCTCACCGGTATGAAATGTGTGCAAAAGCTTATCACGTTGGCTAGAGCAAGCTGCAGAGACACTACCGCACAGCCCTGCAGTAAAACGGTTGCCTCCGGCATGAGGGGGACTCTGCAGAGCTTCATACCATACCTTCGAATTCGTGTGTGTCGTTCTTAAAGCAGTCCTCATTTTGCCAGTTGTTGCAACTGCCTCCCGAGGACACTGTAGACATGTTTCGTTGTCGATGGTTCATTGTTTTCTGTGCTAGCAGCTAGCTTGTGATATGGTCATGTCTGTTGCCACTGCCTGAGGGGAGTCGACAATACATCTCAGCTCTCTTATAATGAGTTTCGTTGAGATCCTTTGCAGCCAGAAGGTCAAGCTCAGTGCAACCGCTGCTTGTGGGGCGAAACTCGCCCGGCTGTTTGGGTTCAGCATAGGTTCTTCTTGCTTATTTTCTCTGAACCTGCAGGCTTTTGGTTTTTGAGGTCCCTCGGTGCGGAAGTCGGCATGCGTCGGTGGAGATGCCATTCGCAGCTCGCGAGACCTTTCCCTCGTGGCGAGAGTGAGTGAGTATGTATGTAAGTTGTACGCAGTATGTAAGTATCTAAGAAAGTAAGTAAGTATGTATGTATGTATGCATACACACATAGAAGCATACATTTGCTGTTTGTCCCAAAGGTTGAAAGGCTTAGCATTGGGATGCGACAGCTACAGACCCTGCAGGACATCTGCTCGAATTGGGAGCGCTGCCAAAAAGCTTTCGAAGAGGTCAGCAAGGAGCTACCATGTGTCCGAGCCGCGGTCGTCTTTTCTGAGGATTGTATAAGGCGTTTTCCGTTCGGATGGACCTGGCCGCAGGAGATGAAGGACTTGCAAGATCAAGGCATGCAAGTTGGAGGACGGTGCCTCTCATGTTGGATTGACCTCCGACACTGCAGCACTCGAAGTCTGTCCAGGGGATCCCTTGTGTGGGAAGCAGCAAGAAGCCATAGCCGAACTGAAGTCTCCGTGACTCTATGAAATCACTGCAACAGGTAGGCCTGCCGTGTAAAGTCACATGTTTCTAGTCTCCCTTGAGGGTGCTGCTTGATCTTGGACCTGCCTTGGGAAGGATTGTCCTTGACACAGCATGCGACGGTTCCGGAGGACCCGACACGGAAAGTCAAGATGCCATTTCGGGTGGGTCCAGTTTCGAGGAGTGTCAAGCCTTGGTGCTTGGGGTGCGACACTGCACACGCGACATAAAGCCATGCTGTAAGGGAAAAGCTGTCGTCTTCTGTCCTGCTAGGACCAGGTTTGGAGGTTTGCGCAGCATCATTGGCAGACCCGACATGTTCAGGAGTTGGCCGATGCCTTCAAGAAGCTGCAAGACATCTTGCAAGCAGGCCCTGCGCATCCACTTGTAACGTAGATCAAGCTGAGGGATGTCAGCACCAGGGTCTCCGCAACATGTTCTCTCTGCCTGCTTGTGCAGATCCTTTGAGACAGCTTTGCTGGCGAGAAGTGGTGAGAACCATGCAGATTCTGCAGATGAAACTGTTTTGCAGCCCTGCCAGGAAAGGCTGACGCATCCGCTTCCAACAGCACGAGCTCGGCTGACGCGGCCGACATCGCGGACATTCTCGGTGGGGGAGCAGGCAATCTAGTGCAGACCCCGCAGGCATTTCCCGATGAATTTGAATGGATTAGGTTGCAGTGGAATCGTGTTCCACACCTTGCCTTGCGTCCCAAACTCAAGCCCGAAGGGGTCTCAGCGGTGCAGGTGCGGAGTCAAAGCCTCAGACTCAGAAGGACTACATGAAGGCCTCGACCGGGAATGCCGACGCTGCTTTGTAGTATTGCTTTTGCCAGAGCAGAAAGCTTCTTCATCCTCTCTGCCGTCGGACTCGCTACACAAAGCTTGAATGCACTGAGACGCTCTCCAGGCCAATGTCTTTTTGCTGCTGCTGGAGCACTGTTCTGACTGGGCCGAGGCAGGGTGGGCAGCAGAGTGCACAGGGTGTTGGTGGATCCAGTGGATCCTGTCAGGGGGTGGACATGGACCAGGAGCTCCCCAAGGCACGGCATCGGACGGATAGGAGGGCCAGGCCGTAGTCTAAACTCTAAACTTTAAACGCAGGAGTTTCAAAGGGTTAGGTCCGGCAACATGGTCTGATGCTGTTGGTGTCGGCCTCAGAAACCGCATCAACATGCATCCAGTGCTTCTGGAGTCAAGGACATGCTCTAAGATGCTCGTTATAGGTTTGACCTGTGTCGTTCCGGTTGGAATCCTTCCCCGATGCAGCTGAACTTCCACGTCGCCGGGCTGAACGGCGTGCAGACGGAGCTCTCGCTTCGCCCGAAGAACTACATCATGCCGCTTGTCAGCAGGGTGCCACAGACAACGTTTGTTCGGGCCTTCGGGCAGCCTTGGAGAGGGATAGGGGCCTGTCAGCGACGCATCCACAGGACTGCCACGGCTGACATCAACGTTCCGGAAATGAAAACTCTGGGTGGGTGTCTCGCCCGCACTGTTGTGGCGGGCACAGGTGGGTTCTTGTCTCCGCCTATCGGTGGCACTTTCCTACGTCTAGCGCTCCGAAATTCACAGACAGAGGTTGACCTTCCAGATTGAGCGCAAGAAGCGTGGAAAGGCGGGCCCGCGAAGCTCTCACCGATACGGAAGCTTACGTGATAGGATTCAGTGCTTGAGCGATCAACAAGCTCCCTGCTTCAATCCAGCCTTTTGTCTCACTGTTCCAACCAAGAGCTGTAACAGAGTCAATTATGTCATGTTATGTGAAAATATTCTTACGTGGAACATAATACAGGTAACATGTACCATCGTTTTGCTCTGTGAGGTCTGCATGCCTGCTTTTCAGCCGGCGCCTTTCACGACCAAGCTGAATGGAGAGGTGCCGCGAAACGCAGCAGCCATCTGCACTGATTGCTTCGCCACTCCGCCAGGTTTGGATCATGGGCACGCCTCTGTTCTACGAGTACACGGCCCACTATGACCGTGGTAGCGCAGATGGCAAGGCCAGCTGCTCAACCGCTCGGAGTGGAGGCTTGCAGGTCCACGGCTGCCGCTCTGAGGTGAAGCCAAGCATGGCTTTCACCCACGTGCATGAAGAGCCCTGCGGAAGATGTCAAGGCCGGGACCGGGCCTGTATAAGTGCCAGCTGCTGTGTGGGCCTTGGCATCCGACTTGCACCCCTTGCCCAGACAATCGCATCGTCCGCGGCGGGCACCCGGCCTTGACGCAGACGCTGGCTGAAGTTGGTGCGGCTTCAGCTTAGCTCAGGTGCAGCTTCTAACCTCGTGCCGTGTCACCCTCCCGGCGCATCCACCATGAATCCCAAGCATGCAGCTTTACACGTTCGACCGTTTTTGTGATCATTAGTTGTATGGTTGGTTGGGTAGGGCCCACTAAGGTCTGGAAGTCGTGCTGTCTTCTCCTTCGATTCATTGAAACTTTCGTTTCTGAAAGCTTTCAGCATTCCAGCGTTTCTGTCGCTGCATTGCTGTCTCGAGCGAGCAGCATGAGCGTGCAGTGAGCCATGGATGTTGAGCTTCGCGATCTCTTGAGCTGTAAGCCTCCGGCTGTTCAGAGATGGCTCTCTGCTTTGCATATCGAAACATGCCTGGATATCAGACATATGTGGTCCAGTGCTGCTGAGATGGAAGTTGAATGGGCTAACGGTCCAGGCTCATCTGAGGATGCGGACTCTTCTCTCGAGGTGGCATCTCTTTATACAGAGGCACTGAGACGGTCTGCCGTGACAGCCCGCAAGCGTGTTCTTGATCTGGACTTGGAGCGTCAGTCTAGATTTTGCACGGAGACCACAAGGTGGATCACGCCTCGCATTGCACCGCCTCCTGCTGGACATAAGCCCAAAATGTTGCTGCTGCATAGACAAAGTGCGCCTGAGGTCCCGGTGGCTACATCTTCTGAACCATTGCCACGTGCCGCTGCTTCAACAGATTCTCAGCAAGCCTGGAAGATCAAGGTTCTTTTCTGCATTGCATGTGAGATCTTCTTGGATCCAGCTGATGTCGGAGCGGCCAACCTGGATTTTGCGGACGAGGATGCTGTGTCTCGAGCGTCCGATCTTGCGATGACCTCGGCCCAGCGCTTGTCCAGTAAAAGGCTTTCTGCAATTATCGCCACACTTCGCAGATGGAAGTCCTTTGCAGTTAGCTCTGCCTGGGATGTGCGAGATTTGGAGCCTAGCAAGATTGCGGCCTTTCTGAAATCAGTTTCCAAAGGAGGTCCAACCGCCGCGGCATCAGTTTTCTCTGCTTTGCGCTTGGTGAATGATAATTTGGGGGGAGTTTTTCCTTTGTCGAGCTTTCTTGTCAAGCCCTACAGATTCCACGCCCCTAATCACACAGCCAAGCAGGCTGAGGAACTTCAGCCGTGGGAGTTCTTGAACATTCTTCTGCTCACAGCATCCTTGACAGGAACTCCTAGGATGTTGGCACTGTTCGTGCTCCAGGCGGCCGTGTCATGCATTCGCTTCGAACATGTGCAACGGTCCAAACTTGTCAGGGACCATGGTTCTTGGCTCGAATTCCATTGTTTACAAGGTAAGTCCCGCCGCAAAGGTGCCAGACCTGCTTAGAACTGGGCCACTCCGCCTCTGACTTTCTTGGGGATTAACTTAGTCGCTGAGCTTCGACAATTTTTCCTGGAGGAAGCCTTGCCAGGGCGGCTTTTCTTGTGGCCAGCAGTGGATCTGTCCAGGGACGATCTGTGGCAAGTGTCTGAAGCAACAGCTTTTCGTCTCGAAAGGAAGATAAGCGGCACTCGCTTCCTGGAAATTGCCAGGGGCATCATTTCCCAGTGCGGTGTCGAGTCGTCTGCTGCCGCTGCCACCAAGTTTAATAAATTTCGACGTTTTCTTCCCACTGGCGCGCAAGTACTGAATATGCATCATCAGGACTGCCAGGCCATTGGGTCATGGGTCGAAATGCCAGGGGCCAGCTCAGATTCGAAGTCACAGGCCAGTCGACATGACATCATGTCGACTCACTACTCGGGAGAACGTGTCCTGGCAAGCGTGCGAGCCAAGTCATATGTGGTGCAGGCCGTTCTCCAGCATCCTGTCGCAATGCAGATGTCGCGGAACGCCTTACCCCCCGATTCACTTAGGTGGCCTGGGTTTTCGAGTTCTAGGGCTAGGCCCCCTTCCACTTGCGAGGTTGCCGCACACGAAGACGGGCAGTTGCAGCAACGCGCTTCAGAATCACAAGACTCTTCGTCTTCTTCAGACGAGAGTCAAAGCACCTCTTCTGCTGATTCAGGTCAGAATAGCCTCCTTCAGGAAGTCACTTGGATCCAGCAGCGGCAGAAGATTCATATTGTGCGGGAACAGGACCTTGACTCTCGGCCAGTTCCATGGTGCAGGACCAAGGCCTTTCCCCAGGATCCGTCTGCTCGAGGCCAGGGGGTTTCTCCCGGCATGGGACATATTTGCCAGAAGTGCCTTCGTTCTGTTCCGTGCGGCCTGAGCAAATCGCTTCTGGCATCACAGCAATAGGCTAAGGGACCACGCGTTTCAAAACAAGCGAAGTGCCTGCAAGTTGTGACTCCACGTGCATTCTCTTTGCAGTTGCACCTGTGCGGTCTCTCAGCATTTGCTCTGCTCGAGTGTTGGCAGCCCTCTTGTGCTTCAGGGTGCATTCGATGGCCAGTTGGCTGCAGGCGGCTTCCGCTTCCGATCAGCAGGCCCCGCAGTTGCTGCCCTTTCGCCGGCCACTGGAGTGGCGCCTGCCTCGTAAGCTTCGGATGCGGGGCTATACTTTTGGCGGACACTGTACGATGCATTGCTCGGGGATGTGCGGCTTCGCTTGCGGGCGGCCTGTGGCTGCACAGAAGTCGCGGCCCCACAAGACACACAAATGTTATCTATGCCATGATGGGGGCCAACCCTGCTGAGGAGGGACAGTGGCCTTGGCGCAAGCCATTGTCTTGGGAGTTGCCAGAGCGTCTTCACTCCAGAGGTTTCCAGATTTCTGGTTGGTGCAAGGAGCCGTGCACTCGAGGATGTGGCTTCGCGTGCTCTCAGCCGCTCCCATCTCGTGCCGACTTTGGTCAGAATCGGGCGGCTGCGGAACATGTCTGCACAGTGTGTCGGGAGGCCTCTTTTTCAGCCTCCTACCCTTCAGCATCAGCGGCCACTGCAGGGCATTCGAGTGAGGGGCACAATCCAGCTGTGAAGCCTTTGTTTCTCGAGTCATTGGACTGAGTGACTCGGCACCCCGCTGCCAGGCAGATGCAGTGTGGGATGTCCTCTTATAAAGCTTCACTGTTGGGCGCCATGAAATTCAGCAAAACGTGTCATTGCTTGAGTTCCTGCTCTGAGGACGACCATGTGTTCCGGGGGGGTCTCACGCAAGACATGTCTTTCGGAGTTTTGTTTTTGCCCGAACCTCGTTGCAATCAGCAGGTCCCTTGCCATGGCAGGTGCAGCAGCCATTGACGTTACGGCCCCCGACACGGGCCTTGCCTCCTGCCTCAAGATGGCCAGGCTTTTTGATGCAAGTGCGGCCCTCTTCATTCAGAAGCACAAACTTGAATCACTCGAGGATTTCGTTTATGTGGTGGAGAGGGCCTCATGGGAAACATCCTTGAAGGAGCTTGCGGAAGCAGTCCCAGAGCTGCGCGGGGACAGGCTAGCTTTAGCCCGCCTGATGAAGGCTGCATACGAGGCCGGATTTGCAGCTGTTCACAATGCCCAGGCCGTTGAGAAGCAAGATAGTTCAGATTTGGACCAGCCCATCCCCGACAACTTCTTCCAGCAGCTTGATCAGGAGTGGAAGCGCTCTTACAACCTCCCGATAGAAGCACACCTCGACCCCTGCGACTCCTTACGAGGGAGAATCTGGAGAGAACTTCGCCGGAGGACATTGACGCTTCTGGAACTTCGTAAGGTCAAGTCTGTCATCGGGGGGTCGGCCCCCCTTGAGGAGGAGAGGATCTCGCTGGAGGGCGGGGTCACGCTTCAGTTCGCTAAAAAGGGCCACGCAGCTCCCAAGAATGTCATCGAGTACTACATGCGCTTGAGGATCCTCTGCTACGCTTCAAGCAGCGCTGCCTTGACGGGAAAGACAAGCTTGTGATGCCACTCCATGTGGCAATGGATTACTGCGACATGCCACTGCGTCACTGCTCTTCTTACGGCAGCAGTTCGCTTGCATGGCTGCAGCGTAATGACCTCCTGACGCGCGGCAGCATGTGTGCTAAGGTCAGGCGACCAGGGCCTCGTGCACAGGAGGCTAGCCCTGCAAATCCCGGTGGCAAGACCGGGGCCAAGAGGCCTCTCGAGGACATCACCCCGCCTCCTCCACCGCCTAGAGGGCCCAGGATCCAAACCGTGTCGATGGCGAAGGGTGGTCGCAAGTTGTGTAAGGCCTGGAATGACAGCAGAGGCTGTCAAAACAGCAGCTGCGATTCGTTGCACGCTTGCGATGTAAGGCTCCCGAACGGATCAGCATGCCTCAGCAAGTCTCACAATCGTCAGAACCATCCCACTGCCTGAAACAGGGAACCCTCTTCTCAGGCCTTGGGAGAGGGCCCAGCTCAGTGTATCAGGGCCACTTCTGAGTCAGTTCCGCACGTGCCTCAGGAAGCGACAGCCTCCCATTACACTGATCCCGAGGCTTTCGCAGCAGCTCTGCTTGCCAGGAGTGATTGGTCAGCTTCTTCCTGCAAGGAGCTGCTTGCACTGTCTTTTGCAAAGCCAACCTCGAATAGACGCGGGTCGGTGCTTCAAAGCGCCGATCTCGTCCACTACTTCGTGGTAGGTCCCTTTGGTTATAGGGGTTCTGTTGGCCTCTCCCAGGCTTCCAAGCGCAGGGTCTGTGTCATGCAGTTTCTGAATAAGTGGCTTCTGCATCGCTTTCCCGGCCAGTCATGGGCTAGCGTTGCAGTTTCCCACGATCAGATGACAGGTCTGCATACCGACGCAGGCAACGAGCCAGGCACTTTGAACCACACCGTGTCAGTAGGCTCGTTTGCAGAAGACAGGGCAAACCGTTTGGGGCGCCAGGGTCTCTACATGGGACAAGGGACTTTCTTTCTGTCCACATGTCTTGCATGGCACTCTGCCTTGGACAGGCGACCGCTGGGCAATAACAGCTTTCACGCCAAAAGGCCTCACAGCTCTTGATGCGACATCCAGGCGGTTGCTGTTGCATTGGGGTTTCCCGTGGTGCCCTCACACTTCTGCATCGGATACTCAGACTCTGCATCAGCTGCCA